TAAAACTTAACCAGGCACTTTGAAGAAGCTCTGACGCTGGTAGTCTATGTAGATAATAGTGTGGGTTTACACACCCCAGAACCAAACATTTTGACTTCTGAACTTGCATATTCGGCATGACACTATGAACTACAAAATCACACAGCGATGAAAAAAATGGCGGACTATGAAATCCAGTTGACCGGAAATAGATTACCATAAATGGTAGTTCCGCAGAAAAATGTGTAACGAAATAAGCAATGAAACGTAATAAGCAACAGCAGATTTTGAACAAACTGAAAAATTTGACCCATAAAAAATATAAAAATATCGTTGCAGTAACTGGACAGAATAAATTAAAGTTTTCTACACTCCTAGACACTATAATTGCACAAAAAATAGTTTATGAATGCAAAAAAGTGCATTTAGCATGATATGTCTCCTTTAAAGCTGCTAGTAAAAATGAATGTGTAGCCTCATGACTGTGAGCGAAAACAAACAAAACTGACAACAAAAATATTTTTCCCGCACCGAGTAGAGAAATATGAAAAATAACATCATTATGAATATGAAGAGAAAGAAAAATCAGACGGACAAACAAACAGCTGATTTGTTTCATGACAACATCCAAAATGGAAACGAGAGGAGAAAATGAGCAGAAATGCGTCGTGGGTGGAGCTACCTGGTGGTGTGGGATCATGGGAATGGCGTCCATCCTTGGTGGCGCCATTGGAACGGGACGCTTCGACCTGAAGGAAGAAAACAGTGATGATGATGATGATTAAGGTTTAAATAAAACCTCTGTTTCTCCATGTTCACCTCTGAGGAGCAGCAGAAAACAGATATCTTTGTTTTAATTTAGTTTGCATTTCATTTAGGAAAAAAAGCAAAGAACAATAAATCCTTTCAGGTGAGTAAGGAAAGATATTAAACAATACAGTCTTTGCTCTTTTTGTGTTAAAAGAAAGAAGTTGAAAAAGTTCAGCCAGCTGATTAGCATGCCTCCTGCCTCTGGAGGATTTCCAGACATGCTCAGTAAAACTCAGAGGCTTACGTTGCATGAGGTCAGACTGCATTAAGTCAGCTGTTTATTTGCATTTCCCTGAACTCTTGCAGTGCCCCGGTTGTTGTGAAACCATGCAGAGGAATCTGGCAGAAGTTAAACAGTGTCAGCACTTATTTGGAGCAAAATTAGCAGGAGAAGAATGAATTTCTCTACAACTTGCTATAACTGCAGAAAATCAAAGGTCAGAGATTAAAAGTGAGCCTTAATAAGGAACCCAAAAAGAAAAACACAAAAACTGTCCTCTGAACAACAAAAGCAAAGTCAAATCACAGCCAACTTAAAAAACGGCTATTAGAAACTTTACAATCAAAGTGTCAGGATTTCCTGAAGGAATTCAGATCTACTGCTGCCTCAAAGATCTCACAAAATATATTACTGCTGAGTGTTTAATGACCTCTTAACTTTGACTATATTAAACTTTAGTTCAACATTTCTAAATTTGATGAAGTTATAGCTATTTTCTTATTGGCAAATCATTGTTGACCATGGCAGCCATCTTGAACTGGGTTGATTCCAAAAGTCTATCAGCTGTAGTCTTTGTTTCATGAGATCTTCTGCTGACAGCTGGAGTTGGCACAAATGGTTAATTGCTAAGTTTTTAACAAAGATCTTGTGTACTCCGTTAGCATAAAATGGGATGATTCTCAGCTGCTCTCGTTCCAAGATCAAGCTTAAAATCTGTAAAACTGACCAATTGTTGTTTAGGTTTTTATAGGGACCTGCGACCAGTTGTAATATTAAAACATTATTTGATAAACATTTACCTCAACTCAAATGTGACTGTAAAAATACTGTTTAGTTTTTATGAATAAAGAAATATATATATTGTCACAAGAATGTTGCCACTTTACATACGCTGCAAAGCATTCTGGGTAAATGAGCATGTTTACCAGCTGCTTGAGCTCCAGCTTGAATGCTAATGTTGGACTCTATCTGATGTTCAGCTTTTTTTAAATGAAACCAGAGTGCATTGACGGAGGACTACAGGGTATTCTCATGGATGGAGAAGCTCAGCTTTAGCCATCTAGCATTTAGCTCCAAGCTAATATATTTGGTGATATATGGTGTTTGCTCCAGAACTAATAATATTACCTCGAATGCTAATGCTTCAGAGCTAATTTACAAAACATGACGTTTGATTGTTTCAACTCATATTTTGCAGAACATAGAAACTACAAGAAAATGTGAATTCATTGTTATTTATTGTCAGCTTTTTAGCCACGATTGTGCTGTAGTTTCATTTGTAACCTCTAATAATCATTATCATCAAAATGTATTGCATCAGGAACAAAATGGCAACTGGTTTAGGTGAAAATGTTATAAACAATTTAAGTAATTAATTTCAGTAGTATAGAGATTTAATAACAGAGCACAGCACTATTCAACTGGCAGTCGGGCTGTGACTTCCAGTCATTGGGGGTCAGTTTTTATTTCATTTTTAACTTAAATATATGTATATAAGAAAACAATAAAGGTTAATCTGTTGGAGAAATTTGAAAAGGTATAATGTATATTTATATGAATTGTTGTTCAAGGAGGTAAACTTTTATTGTTTTTCTGTTTTTGTTTGTTTTGTTTTTGTTATTTGGAGACTATTTTTGTTTGAATTTATATATTTGAGAAAAGGGGCAGATATTCTAAGATTTGTTTCTTCTGCTGCCTTTCATTTAATTTGTGATTAGTATTTTAATTGTACATGGAATTTATGTTGTTTTTTAAAGAAAAAATTAATAAACTTTTAAATAAAAAAGTAAATATATAAT